TTTTTTCTCCTGGAAATAACACCTACCGATGTTTTTAGCTTTCTTCTTTAAGCCTATCGAGAAAAAATTCTACAGCTAAAGGACGGTCCCCAAGAACATCTACGAAACATGACACCTAGCTGGTATGTACGCAGTTTTTTGGGGGCGTGGGGGATGAGCCAGCCAGCGCCCCAAACCTCTCCTCCTGTCGTGAAACCCCTCCTGCTCTCTGCCGCTGCTGATGAACCCCACGTCGACCCCCCCGCCCCCCCCCCTGCGTCTTCAAAACATCCTCCTTGTACCACTGCGCTTTGGAAACACGTACTGTATATCTTGGAAAATCAAAGGGGCGCGGAAGAACTTCGACTGGTCGGGGAGGGGCTCCGCGGAGTGCTGGAGGGAGGCGGGGATGAGGGGGTGGGTGGGGAGGGATCACTGTTCCCCGCTGGGCTTGAGGCGGAGAAATCGTGAGTTCTTGTGTCCTCTTTGTGTGCGTTGGTTGCCGATTATGTCGTTGCGTTGTTGCGACTGTTGTTATGTATATCTGTTTGTTTTCTGCTGTATCGCTTTGGCTGTGGTGGTGCTATTGAGTCATTTTTTTTTGTTTTTTAGTGTTGGTTGTTTAGTGTTCGCACTCAACGAACCTTCCACGTAGTAAGTGCTTTCACGTATATTTCCACCTTTTTAGTGTTGGTTGTTTAGTGTTCGCACTCAACGAACCTTCCACGTAGTAAGTAAGTGCTTTCACGTATATCTCCACCTCGTTCTTCAATCGATTTTGATTTCCAGGGGCCGTCGCAGAATCAAACGGCAGCGTATGGTACCCGTTGGGAGCGAGCAGTCATCGCCAGAGTTGGTGCACGTGAAGAAAGAACAGTTTCGGCACTTCAATCGTCGTGTGGTTGGTCTAGATCGTTCATATAAAGGACCCCTTTCAGAGTGCATTTTTTTTTTTTCAAAAACTCAGCGATCATCTCTGTCCACAAGTTAGGGTCCGGAATAATTAGCAATGAGAGTTTCAAAACTCCACCCTGTACCGACTTAAAGTCTCTTATTTATTTTTTCCTTTTGTGTGTTTTTTCAACATTGTGCGTACTGCTCGTTGTGCGTTTCTGCGATGCCTGACGGGCAGGGCAATCTTTGTGAGGTGCACCAGGCTCAAGCGCACCCATCAGTCCGCGCAGAACATGCTCGAGGGTCTCGGCTTGAAGGACGGCGTCGACCTCTACGTACGGTGAGCGTGGGTTGGGATAGGTCTTGGCCTTTGCTACTGCGGCGAGGGCGGGGGGAGGGGGGGGGGGGGGGGCTTGTGTCAAGTTGAATTTATTTGGCGACGTTGGGTGAGAGACCCTCGAGAACCGTTGACGGTGGGTTGGTGAGGGTGAGGGGCAACTGGCGTCAGTGCAGTATTTAGCATTACCAAGCAGCGTGTTTTTGCTCACAGCACATTCATCGCGTGCCCATGATGTCGTGTTGTCATCGGTGTGGTAAATCTCATGCCGTATTTTCGGCTTCTGCTTGTATGACTTCTGCTGCTTGCTGCTGCTCCCGCTGCCGCTGCCGTTTCCACTGCTGCTGCTGCTGCTGCTACCGTCGCCGCCGCCGCCGCCGCTGCTGCTGCGTTCCACAATGATGACACATGATCGATGATTGCTATCCTGCCAGACCTCCCGAGAGGGAAACCCTCTGGCCCAGCAAGCGCAACCGTGGGAAGCAGGACCGCCTCATCGCGAGAGCAATCGCGGAAAGCACGTTCCCCGGCCAGGCCGAGCTCAAAACCAAGACCGCCGAGGTACCCGCAGGTAGACAGACAGACAGACATACATACAGACAGACAGAGAGACAATCTTGATTGACGACCACCGACCATGCATGTACCCCCCCCCCCCTCCCCCCGCCCCCCCCAACACCGCAACAAAATCTAACTACATTTGCATACTTACGTATCCCCGCGGGTGTGCTGCTGTTGCGTGTGTCGCTCGGGCGGTGGATGGTCATGCGTGGACGTGCCGTCGCAGATGGTTGGCGTGCCTGAGGACGATGTGAAGTGGACGGCGGTGCGGGAGGTGCTGTCTTGCTACGAGGCACATGGGGTGGCTCTTCCGGCCGGGGTGCGTATCGGCGTAAATCTCGCCACCACGGAGTTGACAAAAAGGAAGATGTTCTGGTGGCTCGAAAATATAAATTTCGACACTTAAAAGAGCAATTGTGCTGCCTCCGCCATGGGAGGAATTGGGACCGAGCCTGTTGTACGGAGAGAACTACGTGCAGCAGATTGAGGCAATAAATAGGGACACGCCATGCAGCAGCAATGCTGGCTACACGGGTAGCGATGATTGGCGTACATTTCTGTATTGTGTAATGTAAACCGGAATTTAACACCTGTTTAATACAAATGGATAGACTCCGCGCACGTGCTCGTCTCATTCAATGGTCGCGATTTGTTCGGCCCGGCATGCCATTTTAGAATTGTTGTGCATTTCTGTATTGTGTAATGTAAACCGGAATTTAACACCTGTTTAATACAAATGGATAGACTCCGCGCACGTGCTCGTCTCATTCAATGGTCGCGATTTGTTCCGCCCAGCATGCCACTTGCGAATTGTTGTGCAGCCTTGCAAGGTTAAGGTTTGGTTTTTGCGAAGGAGGCGTCGGCCGCTGCGGCAGCCGAAGCAAAAAGTGAAACTGTTTTCTCGTGGTTATCGACCTTTTTTGGCCTTCTTCTTCTTGTTGTTAACGTATCTCACGAAACAACCCTGTATACACAGCTGAAAGTAGGTGTTCTTTTTTTTTTATCAAGAATTTTGGTTATGTGTATCGCAGTAAGTTTCGTGCGTGGTGTGAAGCAATTGTTTGGCTCTCTTGTGTTTTTTTGGCGGCAGGACTGTAGACTCGATCTTCTCTTTTTTTTTCTCCCCATCGTTATCCCCCCCCCCCTCCCCGGACGCTTGTTCCCAGGCCATAAGCTCGGGGCTTGTCGAGGGAGTGGTGGACTATACCGGATGGATGTGGGGCAGATGGTTCGAGCAGCGGGAGATGGCTCGCCTGAGCCTGGGTCCGTTTTTGGCAGAGGTATGCATACGGATACGGCTCTTCTATAATCTATGTTTTTTTTAACGTGTGTGTGTGCGCACCACATGCATGCTACGTTTTTCTCGTTCGCGGCTTCGTTTTCTGTGATTCGCCGGGGGGCCCGCGAGAGAGAAGAAGAGAAGGAAGACTCCATCGTGACAGCGAGAGAGAAGAATAAGTTTGTGTTTCTTTCTCTTTTTGGACGCTTTATTTGCTGGGATTTTTTGGAGGTCTGGAGAAAGTAGGACACAACCGTTTGCAGTGCGGGAGACAAGGAAGATGCTATAGATTTAGGGACAGCAACGGGTACCGCACGCGGCGAATTGGCCCCTGCCTGATAACATATGCATACGTCATTAGCAACGGGTGCACACAGCAAAAACAAAACGACAATTTTTCTTTTTTCTTTTTTTCGTCATCACCATGTGACGACAGCCTTTGGTCAACCCATCCGGTGCCGCAAATGCTACTGAAAAAAGTAGCAGCACAGAAGTCGGTATATATACATTTTTTCTTCCATCATTGGACTCTATCGTCTGCTCCTCTGGCCCCCATCCTCCACTTCTACTAGCTAGACGACCCAACCGGGGTCACATAGGAGGGGGGGGTTGGACCCCCTCCTGCGGTTCCTGCCTGAGATATTTTCATCGCGAGAATGAGATATTTTCATCGCGAGAAGGGTACAGCAATCCCTTCCCTCGCGACTTATGAAGTCGATCTAGTTTACTAACAACGAGCTTTACAGCGCGTCGCTTCCAAAATCGACCAGGATTTATTAGTGAGAAGAGGAACTCACTTTGCCGGGTTTATATGTATCATACGGAAACGCACACGTTCTCGGACGCGTTGCTGTTGCAGGTCTTCGGTCTATATTCACGACCATTATCGCTCCAACCAACCAACCACCTCCCGCGCCGCCGAACATGTTTTGTTATTGCTCCCGGTGCAGCTACTGACCCTAGTGGGAGCAAGGGGACACGAGACCGGCGTCCCCGAAGCGGGCATGCCTTCCACGCCCAAGCTCGCCATCTTTTCCGGTACGCACACACACGCCCGCTTTTTTTCTTTCATTGTGTCTCGCCGGTTTTTGTTTCCGGGAACACACCCAGCAGGTCTTGCTGTTCACACATGTATGTTGCGTTGTCGTATTCATACTACACAAAGGGTTGTTCTCCGAACCCTCCCATTACGAAGAGTATTTTCTCTCAGTATCTCTCATCTTGACTTGGCCTATGCCCCGCCCTGTCTGCTTGTCTCCTTCCGAACTCGCTTGCGTGCTACTACAGTGCGTTTGGATTTTTTAAGACTCTTGGCCGCGTGATCGTTGTTTCCATTTTTTTTTTCTTTTTTTTGAGAAGGCCACGACTCTACGCTGGTGCCAATACTGACCGCTCTCAAGGTCTACGATGACGTTTGGCCGCCGTATGCCAGGTAAAGAGCAAGGAGAAACTAGACGGGGGAGAAAGGAAGTTGACGAGGCAAGACCCTTCTCGCTCGCGATGTATTGGTGCACATGTTTTATCTGTCAAATGCTTGTGCACCTCTCACTAGGCTGTTTCTATTTTTGTCGCCCCATCTGTTCTGGGTTAGTGCTTGAAAACACGTCGCGTTTTCCAGCAAGATTGTCATATTGTGGTGGTGTCAGGCCACACGCCTGGCTGTGCGAAGCGTTTTTTTATGTTTGGGGGCAGTTCACAAAGGGGTATCTGGCAACTGCGTTTGGCTGTCTGAGAAGATAGTCTGGGATATACAACGCGCGCTTACATATGCCGTTTACACGGTGTCGTGCTGCTGCTTTTGCTGCTTGCTACTGCTGCCCACACCATACTAAAAAATAGCGCGGCGTGACAAACTTTTGAGACTAGACTTGATTCCGAAGCGCACGAACGCATGCCATGTGCCTTCTTGGGTTAGGTTTTCGTTAGTCCTTTCACTCAAGTTCTCGACAGGCACAGCACACAGCGGGAAACCACTGAGTAGCGGCATGTTCGCAAACCACCGTTTTTATTTTGTTGGAACGGGGATGGCAATTAAAACAGATGGCAACCCCCCCCCCCCCCCC